TAATAAAGTAACTGAGCTGTTCCAGTACTGTCTCATGGAGTTTCTTGGGCTTAACCTGACATATAACAGTACAAGTAAAATTGTAAGTTTAAGAATTACGAGCATAAACATTAATATAGTAAGGCATTATACAATTTATACAAGTCAATTAAATGATTATTTAGAATAATAGAATAGTAAAATTAACTATCTAAAGTGTAGAACCATTATAACACTAAAATCCATGGATTTTTTTTTCATTATTAATATTATATCTAGAGGAAATACAGTGATATAATATATAAGGAAGAATAATACATAAGTGATTATAGTTTCAAAACTAGAGTCCAATTACAGTGATTATTTATCTATATTGTTAAAATGACTCTGGCAGCTAATAATGACAATAAGACAGAAATAAGAATCAATTGATGGTAAGGACATAATACATTATTATAAAGTACTGACTAAATGGACAGCTGCATTTGAAATGTTTCCAAATGGAAAATATCTAGGAGGTGTTTGAAGAAAAATTATGGTGTATTGTACAAACTATGAAACAGTATTTGGCTGCAATCATCAAAGTAGAATCAAATTGAGCTGATAGTAGCAATTTGAGGTAGAAAGAATCAGTGCAACCAAGTGTGTTTGGTGATGAGTGGAAGTAATAATTCCTGGTGAGTGTCAGCATAGAGGGAGCAGTACAATATAACATATTCCAGTGTTTCAGTTGCACTTCTACCATATGGGCACAATCTCTACTCAAAGGGGATGTTCTGGTATGTCCCCCAATGACTGCTGTTGGAAGATCATTGACTCTAGCCAGACAAAGCCCTCCTAAATTTAGAAGTTGTTATGCAACTGAGGTATCTGGCTGGGTGAAATAAATGCGCAGAGTGGTTCAGAAGGATGTTTCTGGGCAAGAGTGGCAAAGCTGATTGTATCTCTAAGTCAATGACACCTTGTTTAAGATTGGCTAATGCATGTTTGTAGCCCACCAGGGTGATGGATGTACATGAGAAGCCATAAGATTTTAATTTTTCATGTATTGCCTGACACTAGGGAGCCTGGAAACTGTCAGTCATAATTAAAGGGGCCAAGCTGGCTGGAAAAAAGAAGAAGAAGCTTAAGCCAGTATGAAAGAATGTGAATCCAGGTGGAAGTTTCTATTTTGAGTAGGCTGGCTTCACAATGAAGCACCACATTTGGAACACAGGGCACGTGGAAGAAGATCTAAGGAACTTAGATTGAACTCTTTTGAGGGGAAGAAATGACCTGTAAGGGCCCAACTGGACTCCAAAGAGAAGCTGAGCTCAGATCTTGGCCGAGAAGGCTTTGAGCACTATGGGTACGTGCTGGGCTCCTTTGGAGAAGTAGAAGTATTGTAGAGCTGAAGCTGTTTTCTGTATGTTTAAGATAACATAGTCAGCGTGGGTTTGCGGGATATGGGGTGGAAAACAATCCCTAGGTATTTGAAGGTCTTGACTTGTTCTGTTAGATGGCTGTTTAGCTGCCAGATGTGTGTCTTAGGGCGGTTGGCAAATACCTTGGGTTTTGAGTAATTAATTTCTAGCAGCTCTACTTGACAGTACTCAGCAAGTGTATAAAGTGCCCGCTTCAGGCCAATCTGCATTTGAAAGTAGCACAGCATCATCTGCATATTTATTTATTTATATATCAAATTTGTTGCCGCCCATCTCATTGAAAAGCGACTCTGGGCGGTTTACAAAGGAGATAAAAACAATTATAATACAATACAAAAACAATCTTAAAAATAATA